CTTCGTGCAGACGGGCGACGGCGTCAATGACGCCCCGGCCCTGAAGAAAGCGGAGATTGGCATCGCCATGGGGTCGGGCACGGCCGTCGCCAAGTCAGCCGCCGAGATGGTGCTCTCTGACGACAACTTCTCCACCGAAGAGGGCAGGGCCATTTACAACAACATGAAGCAGTTCATCCGCTATCTCATCTCCTCCAACGTTGGCGAGGTCGTTTGGTGAGAACCTCCCACACCAGGCACCACACTGCAGGGAGCAGCAGTGGGGACATATCCCCCGGGGCGGGTGTCCTGTCTATGTCCCCTGCCCCTGCCAGCGTGCGATGCCCAAAATTGTAGCCTGGGTACCAAACAGAGCCACTGTGCCATGTCTCCTTCCCCAGGGACAGGGAGGGTTTCTTGTGTAGTTTTATAGTCACGCCACCCCCAGTGCCATTTGGTTAATGCGTTGCTGATTGAAGCCCACACCAGCATCTAAGATGGGTGCAGATATTTGTGCACAGGCTGTTGTCACCAGGTCGCACCAATGCACTTCGCATCAGGTCCTGGGCACCGCTCCTGCTCCCTCTCCCCTGCCCATCCCTCCCGGTAAATCAGCGCCATCCTCAGCAATGCGGGCACAGCCTTGGCATCACTTGGGCGTCCTTTGCCCCTGAGTTTTATCAGGGGAGTTTGTACTGGGAACAGGAATCCGTGTGGTCGTGGGGACATCAAGGGTTGAGTTTTGACGGCAAAGTGAATTTTAATAGAAACAGGAACAAATTTGAGCTGCAAAATTCAGGCCTAGACTTCAGGTTCCTGACTTAGGGGCTGCAGGTTCACCTGCAGGACTTTGGGTGACTATTTGGTTTGGGCTGTTTGGACCCAAAGTACCTGCTTGCTCTCCCCTTGCACAACACAGACACTTTCTCTGGCTACCCAGAGCTCATCTAATTCAGCATCTCTGTTTTTTTTCCCCCTGCAGCATCTTCCTGACAGCCATCCTGGGCTTGCCCGAGGCCCTCATCCCTGTGCAGCTGCTGTGGGTCAACCTGGTGACAGATGGGCTGCCGGCCACTGCACTGGGCTTTAACCCCCCTGACCTGGACATCATGGACAAGCTGCCCCGCAACCCCAAGGAGCCCCTCATCAGTGGCTGGCTCTTCTTCCGCTACCTGGCCATCGGAGGTGAGCCCCCATGGGTGCAGGACAAAGATGGCCATGGGGTGCCATGGGGCAGGGGACTTCTCGCTGGGTGCTGGGGTTAAAGGTGTCTCTCTCGGCCACAGTGTACGTGGGCCTGGCCACGGTGGGTGCAGCGACATGGTGGTTCTTATATGACGCCGAGGGACCGCAGGTCTCCTTCCATCAGCTGGTGAGTCGTGAGGGGAACGGGCCAACATGTTGAGCAGGTGGGTGAGGGCATGGATTCAGGCATGGGTTCAGGTGTCAGGGCTTTTCCTCTACCTTTCTTCTGTGGTTATTGTAGCATTCCTAAATTCCTGATGGAAAAGATGTTAATTTTTAAAAAGTAAAGCAAATTTTTTCCTTCAGGCTTGTGTTTCCAGCCTTGCTTCTACCAGCAACCAGCTTGATCCAAACAAGCTGAAAGAAGCTTCTGAACCTGATCCCACATTGAAAGGGATTGATTTTTACGTTACCGTAGGTCTGAACAAGGTGGTGGGAAAGCGGGTGCCATGGCACTCCAGTGTCACGTGCAACGGAAGATGGAGTTTCGATGGAGATGCGTGTGTGCTCAAACACTTTATTAACTGCACATGAAAATCTCTAAGCCGCTGTCCAGCCATAACCCCAAAGCCCCAGCCACGGCAGAAGCTGGGTCACTTCAGAGTTTTATTCATTACTCTGAACCGTGGGATATTTAATGGCACATCTAGTAATTGAGGTTCACCATGTGTCCCCCAACCAGTCGACCTCTTCCTCCTCTTTCCTGCCTTTCCTATGCTGCTGCTCTGCCCTGTATTTACCAGCGGTTTCCTGTGCCGACAGAGGAACTTCATGAGGTGCACTGAGGACAACCCCATCTTTGAAGGAATCGACTGTGAGATCTTTGAGTCCCGATACCCGACCACGATGGCTCTGTCCGTGCTGGTGACAATCGAAATGTGCAATGCTCTGAACAGGTAGGGTGGCCGCAGGACTTCTCCGTGTGCTCTACGCATGACCGATTTTGCGTAGGATCTCTTGAAGTGTCCATTGGTGGGCTGAGGGCTTCACTTTGACTGAGCAGAGCCCTTTGGAGTGTCCTTGCGGGGGATTGGTGGGCTCACTGTAAATAAACCCTTCCAAGCCCGTGTGCTGCTGTCGATAGCGGTGGAGGAAGGACTGGATCCGCATCCGTTAGTGGTTTGACCCTGTTAATGACTGGTTGCGTTGAGATGGGTGCCTGGATCCAAACCACAGCAAAGCCTGAAGCTGAACAGTCTGGAAGAGGAGGGCTATAGTGTACAGCCTTGGAGAGCAGAGGGAACCCCCAGCTTGGGCAGATGCGGGCAGCAGGAGCCATCGGGGCTAACGCTGTTCCCTCGCTTTCGCAGTGTCTCCGAGAACCAGTCACTGCTGCGGATGCCACCATGGCTCAACATCTGGCTGCTGGGGGCCATCATCATGTCCATGGCTCTGCACTTCCTCATCCTCTACGTCAAGCCCATGCCTGTGAGTGCCCTGTGCCACCTCCGCACACAGCCCAGGGGGCTCCTCCTATGGGCGAGGACATCCCTGGAGTGGTCTTTGGGTCTGGGAGCTTCAGGGATGGTTGTCCCCAGCATGTGCCCTCAGGACCAGGTCCTGTGACTCAAACCAACATGGGGACTGGGACATGGACCCTGCCCCAATGAGTCTTTACTTAAGTCAGAAGGTCTCCTTATAGGCAACACAATGGGGTATGGATATCTCGGCTCCTTTTGGAAGCGTCGCCTTCCCTTGCAGGCCAAGGCTGGTGGTGCCTTGGTTGATGCCTCAGGGTGCTTAACATGAAGGAGGTCACTGTGCCCAGGAGGTTATATTGTCCTTTGTCCCCTGCATGCACATACAGTCCTACTTTGTGCCTCACTTTCCTCATCTGCAGGAGAGATGAAGGATGTCCTTTTTTTGACTGATATTGGCCAAAAGCCACGTTGGGATCATCACAGACCTTGAAGAAATCCTGTTCTCTGGGCTGTCTGGATCCTCCGTCCTTGTACCTGGGGTGACCCTTTCTCAACCTGTGCCTTACAACAACCTGACCTTTAAACCAACCAAAAAATCCCACCTCCTTCCCTGTTGATGTGTCCAATCCTTTCTGCCTTGCAGCTCATCTTCCAGGTCACCCCGCTGAGCTGGCCGCAGTGGGTGGTTGTCATGAAGATCTCCCTGCCCGTTATCCTACTGGATGAAGGACTCAAGTACCTTTCCCGCAACCATCTGGACGGTGAGCACGGTCTACACCACATCAGGTTGTGTTTTGTCCATCGTGCTTTGCTTGGGGCTCGTGGTGGCTTCAAGGACACCTCGCTCACCTCATCCGCTCACGTGGTGCCTGCACCTGCATGTTTGCTGTGAAAAAAGGACTTTTTCTCCTACCCCCTTCCTTCCAGGGTGCCACGCCAGGCGGAGCAGTTGGTACTTGAAATGCTCCCTTGGGAGCTGGATCCCTCCATAAATCTGCCACGTGTGTTTGTCCAGCTCCTCTCGAACCTCTGGGAACTGGCTCCCTTCTCTTAGAAAGCAAAACAGATCAACACTGGTTTCGAACAGGAATCCTTCATTTTTTCCCCTTGATTTTCCACCCTCTATGGCCGTCCTTATCTTGGTATTTGCTGAGAGCTGAATGTGTCATAAACTGTTCTTGATGAGATTGTCCTTCGGCGGCACCTCCCAGTATCCATCCTGTGACGCAGGCGGAGGAGAAGCAGCTCCTGTGACACCAGGGCAGCTGTTCCCGTGCGCTCCCGGGCCGCGCACTGTAAATCACGGCACGTGTTCGGGCAGCCCTCCAAGGAGGCGATGCCATCTTTGCTTTCGTTTCTTGCAAAAAAATGTTGTTGTGGGTGATATCTTGGTGCTGAGCTAAACCTGCAGGTTCTCCCGGCAGCGGCTGCGGGTCTGTGGCTGCCAAGCGATGCCATGACTGCTGCGGGGCTGGCCCCTCTCCAGAGAAACTCATCTGATTCATTTTTTTGGGTGCGTTTGCCCTGGCAATGACATCAGGGTGAAGAAGGGTGGGAGAGGCACCATTCTTGCCCAGGGAAGATGTAGTGGTCCCAGGGGACAGATGAGCAACCTGAACATGGAGACTGGGTGTCCTTCACAGCATCACCTTGCTCAGACCTTTTTTCTCCCTTTAACAATCCCCCTTCTTTTGCCTTCACCCTTCACTAATGACCCAAGAAAACCATGTGAAGCCACTCGTGTTGCAGGGCTGAAGGCGGGTCCATGCTGAAGGCAGGTCTGTCCAGCCCTGGCAGGGCGGGGTTTGGGGCATCATAACAGCCCTGGTTGTTTTTTCATGGAGCAGAACCATTCAAAAAGCTGGAAATTCAGGATGGGAAATAATTTAAAGCAGGGAATGATCACAAACTGGTTGCACTCCCCATCACCGGCTCCCGGTGCACTTGAGGTGCTGCCAGCAGCTTTCCCTTCTGCAGCGAGCAGGTCCATAACCATAGTGATTTCTCAGCAAAGCCTCCACTGAGAAACGGAGGCTCAGGGGCTCCTGTTTTTACAGACCAGATAGAAATTGTTTCTCGCTGATTTTTATTGAATTGTTGCACCTCTCAAGAGCCTGATGGATGCTCTGCATCACCCGGGCTTGCTTTATCCTATGATTACAAGCCTGGAGCAGTAATTTTATGGCGTGGCACCGGGCCAGGGCGTAGGAGAGCTGGTTTAATTCCTGGCTGTTGCATCCCATGCATGTCCCCTTCGCGTCACCATCTGTGATCTGGGAAGGAGTCTTTCTTTCTCCCACACTTGTATTTCTCTGCAAAAACGCAGCGCTGTTGGAGGAAGGGCTTTTCTTCGGCTCCGCCAGCGCAGTTCTGAGCACAGCAGGGTTTCTGGCAGACATGGTATCTTCTGAAGTCCCATCATACCAGCTCAAAGTGTCTCCTCTTCCCATGCCATGCTCCCAGTGTGCCAGGTCCTCTGAGCTGCCCTCATCCCCATGGCCATGGTGCTGCTAATGCTCATGGGTCACTCTGTGTCTCATCCAGCGAGCGTTTCCCATGCTGTTCAATCATGGCTACAGGGTGAAATCACGCTTAAATCATCACGTTTGAAAGAAATAATTGAAACCCTGCATCTTCCCAATTCCTCCAGGCTTTGAAAAGCAAAGAAAAAACCTTCAAAAAGCCACTTTTAAATGTGGTATTGTGATTTTTTTACCAGGCATTCTCAGGACAGTAAGACACACGTGGAGCGGGGAGCACCGGTTGAAAACCTGCAGGACTCCAGAGCAAGGGTTGGCTTTCTTATGTGTCTCATCCCCAAACGTCGTATTCCCATGTTTCTGCCAAAGTCTTGGTCATGTGCGGTGGGGACCTGCTCAGACCGCGTCCGGGTGAATGTGGCTTGGAAAACCAGCCGATAATGGGGCCCAGGGACTCCGCACCCAGACAGGTCTCCTTTCCCACGCTGGCATCTGGGGTTTGTTTCAAAATAAGGTCTAAAAAGACCACGAAGCAGCCAGCATGGCAGTTTTGTCCAGACCACTGCTTGGCCTCTGCAAGACAGTCCTTGGGGATGGTCTCCAGTGTGGGACCTTCTGAGGCCAAAGGGATGGCCAAGGGTGTTCAGTTGCTGGATGCAAATGTATAGCTGGGAGTTCTGCTGATTCAGGTTTTGCATGGAAAAGTTTCTCCTTTGATCAGATCTAGATAAGTCGTGTTTCCATTGCGCTGGGTTTTCTTTGTCCTTGAAGTGGCAGGAAGCTGAAACTCTTCAGTTTTCGCAGTGGTCTCAGTGTTTTACTTTCATCTTCCCATCACCCCGGTAACTTCCAGCCTCTCATCTTGCATGCTTTGCATGTATTGCTGTCGTCATCCATCTCTGGTCCCTCTGAGGTTTGTCCTGTCTCGGTTTTGGGATGCAACGTGAGTGTGAGACAGCAAGTGGAAGTGCAGGGCTGAGCTAGGTTGACTTGGTGGGACTCGCAGATGTTCTGGTCAGGAGTGTGAAGGTGTTCTCCAAGGCCCTCGCATGGGTCTGTCACACAGATATAGGGTGTCAGGCTTTCAAGGTCTCACCACCCTCAAGAACCTCTCACCCTGGTATTTTTAGTATTTGCTGTCCTCTGTGTGTTTGTCTTCCTCTTTGAGCACCTTGGCATGCAGGAGGAAGGTTTTCAGGCATCTGTGCCAAGACCTTGCAGAAGTCTCTTTTCTGAGTCGTTCTCAAAAGGTACAAAATCCAGACGGGACACTGAGATAACCTTGGTGCTTGTGTCCCTCTGTGCACTGTCAGCCTGCTGCCCTGGCCACCCTGCTCCCCTCCTGCCTTCCTGCCCCATCCCTGGGCCTCCTCCCCTTCAACACCTCCAAGCAAACCCATCACAGGTGTCAGTGTTGCCACCATGGTGTTTTCACTTGTTTTCAGCACATTAAGCAGCAGGTCCTGCTTGGGTGCTTGAGCCTCACTGTTTCTCACCTGTGCTGTGGTAGAAGCAGGGGCAAGTCAAGAAGCGGGTGCTTTCTGCAATGCAACTACGCGACCACCTAGGCAGGAGAGGTGGGCCTGTGTGAAACTCATGAAGTTCAACAAGGCCAAGTGCAAGGTCCTGCACGTGGGTTGGGGCAATCCCAAGCACAAGTACAGGCTGGGCAGAGAATGGATTGAGAGCAGCCCTGAGCAAAAGGACTTGGGAGTGCTGGTGGGTGAGAAGCT